CGGACCGCCTCAACATTTTTCGTCGACCACGTGGTCCGCGCAGAACGCGCAGAACGGGGAGTGAGTTTCTGTCGAGACAGTCTTCCCGGCGATGGCGCGATGTGTGGCCTCCACGGAGGAGAATTCTCCTCCACGATGGGTTTGATGGTCATGAGTTTGGTGGGACAAAGGCACATGTGTCAGTGTTTTCTTTTGTATGTGTTGAAGTTGCAATCCACTCAAAGGGTGTATAGCTCCCAATCGTAAGTAGTATGATAATGTATGATACACTCCCTGAAAGAATCATCATGGTGCCATGGAACTTCACTCCCGATGAGAGTTGATGAGTAAACATTGGAGAGTAAACCATCCCAACTAATGGGGGGTGCCTTTTTTTGGGGGGGGGATTCCAGACCAATACGTCCGCACCGGTCAGTGGATCCCATCGCCCTTCCATTCCAAGGCCATGGGGTGGTTCAACAGGTTGGTCCACCGGCCGGGAGACCGCTATATACCTGGACTATCACATGGGTGTCCAATACCCAGACACTCCATGGGACTGCCATATATGCCGATCAGTTGGGTGGTTTGAGGGGTCAATGTAGGTATACATACCTTCACCAACCAGACCCGAAAAAAAATAGAGGGTTGAGCTGGAAACCCGAGGTATCGAAAGGAAACCCGAGGTTTATGGAGTGTTTGGGATATAGAGATCCCTAAGTCATGGGCTGGAAACCGTCCAGGACACCCAGGTCTAGGATGGTCCAACGTGATTTGCTTCACCGGTGGCAGTTCACTCGTCTGAAGACCAATTCATCACCAGGGCGGCGGCCACACTGCTCCGATTTTCGTTTTCCTGGTCGAAGTATACCATTCAGTCGTTTTGGAAAGAAGAGAAATGAGAGTGGTTCCCAAAGCGATATATTGAATGACGCTACAAAACTCTGCGTGCTGTTGTTCGGTTCTTCTCTTTATCCTGTCTTATTAGCTATGGTATGGTCCAGGTATAGTTCGACCAGACTGTTAATTCTACGCACAAGGTTTGTGTGCACCGCTTCCAATCTTGCTCAGCGTCCATGGTGAAACCATTGGCCGCTGAGACAAGTCCAGGCCGTTTACACGGTTTGAGAACACATTGGAGTTGGTGGTTTTCGATCAAGTTTTGAGAAAGCCAACCCTGTGGAAATGATGTTCCGCAAACGGGTCTTTAGGTAAAGACTCCACTTCTATTCAGAGCAGCTGTTCAAGAAATTCCTCCTGAACACTCAAGGGCCAACTGGCTGTGTGGGTTTCGGATGGTTGTCAACGAACTTCCTCAGGATTCTTCAGCCCATCGCAACAGGATCATTAGCGTCATGACCAGTTTCCTCATGCTTCCACTGATCGTTTTCTCGAATTTAATCTGCCGTCAAAAGTTCTGGGGTCAAAGGAGGTCAGAGGTTTCTTCCGAGGGAGAGGGCACGTTTGGTTGGTGGGACAGCCAGAGAGCAGCCTCCTTTCTTTACTAACGTGAAACCACTGGCTCCATATGACATGAAGGACAAGCCGACCATGGCTGGATCGGAGAAAAGACCGACCCTTTGACGTCGCTTGGGGCAGCCCTGAAGGATCTTAGATCCTTCAGGATCCAGCCCTGAAGGATCTTAGATCCTTCAGGATCTTGCAGGATACGTCCAAGTAAAGATGGCAATCACATGGCCCTTTCGTACTCGACCCAAGTACCTCTCATACCGTCTCAGACCCGCCATTTGTATATGTCAGATACATTTGCCTATATAAGTGGGGTTGGTTTAGGGGGTCAATGTTTGCATAAATGGCATGGTGTACGTGGAGAGTTTGGGTATGGTGGGTATGGTGACCACCAAATTCAGATAGAAAGGTCATTACAAGTTAACCAATATTCAATATATCATATACGGTCCAACAGGTCTTCTGTATAAAGCTTTTGGTGACTTAAAGGTAGAACAACATAGTGACCTGTGACGTCGGGTGCTGGTACCCATGGCATTCATGTTGGCCTGCACTCGACCCACAGACCCACACAGGCCGCAGAGCCCGCAGAGCCTTGGGTTTACGGGACTCGGTTTAGTATTCGATCCGGCGGCTGTTCTGCAGATACTGGCTTCAGTGGTCTTAAATACGATGGATATTATGATATTCTGAATGTTGCATCCCAAAAGGCCAAGGAGGCCAAGGAGGAGTATACCCGCGGTCGGTATACACCTTGGATCTGCAGCCCCTGCAGCCCATCTGTCCCTGTGACATCATCTCCAACTGCCCGTACATCCTCGGATCTATAGTTGGGTTCAGAAAGGAATTTGGGCTTCAATTGGAGGCTCCTCGGATCTTCGTTGGAGGCCTCGTGGTCTCTTTGGGCCTCCGGCTCCAGATGCGGCGTCGTTCGTTTGTGGCTCGATGGATCTGCCGGTCACGTCCGCGTCCCGCGTCGTGTCCGCAGTGTCCGCGGAGCGGAGCGAAGTCTCCGATGGCACCGGAGGCCGGGCGGGCCTGGTGAAGGGGAGGAAGAGGGTTAGTCGGTACCTGAAGACCGGGTGGGTTACTCTTCTCTAGGAGAATGGGACGACAGGTTTTAGACTTTTGTCTCCATTTGCCTCCTACCACTGAGGCCACATGTGATTGTGTTTGGGTACGTACCAATCTGATTCCTTTTGAACACGCAGTGCCTTCGTGTTTCCTATGTGCCATCATATGTTTGATCCGGAATTATAGAGCTATTCTGAGAGACAACGGAAATACCAGGACCTTCCAAGGCGTGCCCAATGGAAGCCCTAGGACCACTAAGCGACCTCCAGACAGGACACCCCGAAAGAAAGTCCAGGTATATGTTGCTCGTTTGCTACAGAGATGTGAGAAATTCTTCCACTTTTCAGTCCACAAAAATCAGATCTGGCGGCCTGGCGTGGTAGGCACCACCCGACACACACATTGAAAAACACCACCCTCCATCAGCCAGGAAGTGGATCGAGGCGGGATGTGGATGGAGATCAGGGGTCATCAAACAAAGTGTTCCATGAGGTTCCATGAGGGGACGAGGAGGGTTTTCCTCAAGTGCGCCATGTTGAAGAACTGTTGAAGCTTGGGTTGTAACTCGAGATCGTGTAGTATACTTTTGGATCGTTTGGTCCCCTGGCATCCCTTGGCTAATTTGTGATTCCAAGTTCGGAGGTAACTACCTGTGGGACGAAAATGGTGGGACGAAATTCCACCTCGAGGGCGGTCTTGAACTCACCCAGCAGGGCCGGCCTTCTCAAGCAGGGCCGGGCCAGCCGACACGCTGGCACTGGAACACCGGAACCCGCGGTCCTGGACCGAAAAAGACCGGTTTTCCATGGAGGTTCTCGACTCGGGTCCAGGAAAGACACTCCAGGTAGAGGAAAGAAGGACCTGTTCCAGGCCTTCAGCCTTTGGTGGTTTGATCCATATACTGGTGGATTGGATCAAACATATAGGATATCCACCAGTATATCCGTACTATACTGGTTGTTGGTGTAGTACTGGGGTGCCTTTTCTGTGTTGGTATTGAGTCTAGTACTATACTGGTGGACAACACAGAAAAGGCACCCCCGCTTCCGCTGGCGCTTTTGGGGCCCGCCTTTGCGGCGTTGCTCCCGCTCGGTCGCAAGTCAAGGTCTCTTCGACTCCGGTGACTTGGGTGTGTTGGGTGGCGAGTGTCGGCGTACGCTTCACATGGGATGTTGGATGTTGGTTGAGACTCCACGCAGGCTATCTGAGACTGATGAATGAAGGACCCCCCCCGTTTCGATTGTAAAAACTCCGATGGGTGGTTGAAATATCAGCAAGAGTCTACATTACCCTTGTACATAGGATGATTTCTTCTTTATACCCACAACTGCCTGCAAGACGACCGCCTTTGAGGGTGTCGTCTTGGAATCGAGGTCGGGGTCGAAGTCCTATCAGATGACCATTCCCGACAATATATGGAACATGAAACTTCATTAAACCATCCCGACAATCAATGCATATGGAACATGAAACTTCATTAAACCATATAACAATCATTGATCCTTGGAATATCTCCAAACCCATTTAACACCACCCACCCACATCCCACCGGCGAATATTCCAGTCCGGATGCGCATGGATTGTTTGTGCGGACTCACGGAGCGCCCAGGTGAGAGGAAAGCACGGAGCGCCCAGCGCGCGTTGCGCCGGAGAGAGGGCCGTGAGCGCCACGGGGAAAGGAGCACTTGCATAGCAGTTTTAGGAAAGGAGCCTGCGAGGTGGCTCCTCACCTTCAGATTAACAAGGAACCTGAGAATCACCTGTGGAAGACCATTTTCCTTTACAACCCTGTGGGTTTTGGGTTGCATGTGGGTCTCTTCCAGGGCAGCTCGTTTGTTCAAAACGCAACCACATCATTCCACATCCGCATCCAGCTTGAAGTAACCTCAAAAAAAAGCGATGGTGGGGTGGTACATTTCACCACTGCTGGCCTGAAGTTTAGTTTTTTCTTTTGGGAAACCCAGAGAACCAGGAGCTGCCTCCACAAAGAAGAGCATGTCAATGTAGACTTTGTATAGATTCCCAAGGGTCAGCTTCTCCTGTGTGTGAAGGCCAACGCCTTCTGCATCAAAGCGCCGTCTTCCTTGAAACCAACGAGATACACCCGGGAAAAATTCCAGTGGTGTAGACGATCTCCGAACTCCACAGCTACGGGGGGCGTCTCGGCGCGTCTCCTACGTCTCAGCCGCTGGGCGTCGCGAGGCTCGGGACTACCTGGAGGAGCATCAAGTGCTCAGCTGGGTTCAGGAGCCTCGCCGGAACCCACGTGGCCACGGCGGTTCTTGGTGTCAATTTGGGTGATGGGGATGGGCACCTGTTTCTTTTTTTCAACATGTCCGGTGAGATTATGATGTGTAGACCGTACATTCATAAACCTTTTTTTTTTAAAAAAAATTTCAGTTTTATAGAAATCAACACATATATACTATGGACTTTCAAGCACTTGGATATTGATTCGGCCTTGGCTTACAGCAAATATGTTGAGTCCAGGCAAAGGACACCGACCTCGGCCGCTGCAGCTGTTGCCAGCATGGGCGTCAGAGCCTAGGGGCGGGCGCTGGCGATCGTCACCAACCAAACGGAACTTTTCTGCCAGCTGCTTGGCCTTTTGCACTGCCGGTTGCTCTGCCCTGCCCCTGATTTTTGCCGTCTCGGCTGCGGCTGAACGCCGGGGCCGGCGTGGGGAGGACCCGATCATTGCGTTAAGGGAGCGCTTTGGACTGCGGGATCTGGAGCTGTGGGCAGGCTTTGCGCTGGGGCCACTGGCCGCCCGGTGACATTCGGAGCTGCCAGTGGGGAAGCTCCAAACAGACAAAACGCACACATTTGCTACATGGCCGTGTATTGAAATAAGGACCAGAAGACCCCTGGAAGAAGACAATTACACCAAAAACCCATTGGGTCAGGGGGGTCTCCCTATTGAACTACACACAAAACAATCGGCCACCCCACAAAACATCAACACCAGGCGGTGGGTGATGTGAGGTTCTTCCGTGTTCAATCATGTTCAATCGGCTTTTGACTTGTGCCTCTTCGCTGGACCCAGTTCATCAGACACACTCACGCCATCTCAGAGCACCTTCCCCTTTGCATGAGCAAAGAAGCTACGTTCGGGGCAATTGGGAATCGCTACTAGGAGCAAAGAAGCTACTAGGAGCTTATTGCTTATGCATCTCGAAACCGATCTCTAAGACTTCCCGTGTCCCGTCCGTCCTAGGCCGCCTGGGCATATCCCGACCTCCGCAAGACCGCGGCCGAGCTGCTGGACCAGCCGATGTGCTTTGGATTCATTGGCTTCTGTGGTTCGATCCCAGAAGCGATGCAAGTCTTCTTCAGGACCGGTTTTCGCAGGGCACGGCACTGCTCACAGCGACACGAGCAGCGAGACGGTGTGGGCGCGGTTTCTTAGAAGCAAGCTGAGGAAGTTGCACCCGGCCTGAAGTCCAGTTCGATGATTTGTGGGACCGTTAAGAAGTAAAGGACAACGGGAAGTCCTTCCAGACCTAAGTCACCTCAAAAAGAGTTTTTTTGGACTCTTATATAAGGTGCAGATCGGTTGTTACTTTTAGAAGGAAGGATGTCTAGACAGCATGTGGAGCATATGATCTTCCTAATCAGTCAGTCCGAACGGTGTGCCTTTTATTGTCGATCTTCAGGACTACGCTGGGCCTCCTCTTTAGTTTCCTGCTGGCCTACAGATCTTCGTTCCTGCTGAAACGCCAAAGGAACTACTACACCGCCATGTACGAGGAGGCCGCGCTTATTTACTCGGCTCATCCCTCGACATGCGAAGCATCACAAAGCAACACCATGCGAGTCCATTCAACCAAGTCACGAGACTCTTTGGCCCCTGCTTCCCCCCCCAAACAAATTCAGCACGGAGCGCCGACGAAACAAGCGACCTTGGCAAGGCCACAGTGCTCACGCAGCTGCTGGAGGAAGCTCCCATGATTTTGGAGTCCTCTGAGGTGCTGGTGATCATGAAGCACGCCCGTCGGTACCTGGCCGCGAGCACCTGGCGGAGACTTCGGTGGATGGATGAGATGTGCGGATCGTTTGGGTGGTGTGGCTATTGGGTATCGAGATGTATCGAGGATAGTGGGATAGTGGGATAGTGTAACATAAGTGCTAGTTAGCACTTGAAGAGGAACGAGATTTGGATTTTGCAGGTCCCTATTTCCTATATTTCCCAAGTTGGGATTTGGATCTACACATCCCTTCATGTCTTTTGCAGCCAACATGAGGAATGCAAGCTTTCTTCCAGCCGAAATGGTGGCACGCAAACTGCGGACAGACAAGGATGCGATTGAAGAGATGGCACGACTTCTGCTAGGGAAGATGCCAACGACGCCAACGACTCAGCGTTTGTTGGGCATCGTCACCAGCCTTCGTATGGCGCGCTCGAGGAAATATGCTGCGATGCAGCGCATCGTGCCTGCGAAGCAGATCAGTCTGCTGGGGGTTCTGGCGATCCTGATCACGCTCACGCCCTTTCTGGATGGGAAGGGCGACACTACGGAGTTTGCGCAAGTCTTGTATGGAGTCCTGGTGGAGGTCCTTGTTTTCGTGACCCTCACATACAACCAGTAGCAGTTTTGAGATGTTTTGAGTCTATACATGACTATACCCTCGAAAGGGTACAGACCCGTTGTAACTTTGGAAAAAATCAAGAGCAGCAGGGACCGGCATCATTTTGATGTCACTGATAAGTCCTGAAAAAGGACACCGATAGGAACTTCAAACGTATCAGAAGTATTCAAGCAAGTTTGAAGCTGTTCATTCATGTTTTAATGCCAAACCAATTGAGGATCTTTTATGTTGGTGGAGGACCAGCGCTGGGCCTATACAGCACCGACAAGGAACGTCGCACCATTTTCAGAGCGCTCATGGAGTTGATCCAGAAGACAGAAGCTGAGCTGAAGTAGCTAAGGAATTCGTGTTCCAAGTCTTGTTTGAACGTGTGTTCAGAATGTCCAAGATCGGTGTTCTTTCAATCGCTAATGTCTTTTGCCTCCAAGATCGGTGTTCCTTTTCTGAAAAGAGGTACCGTGTCCTCTTGCCATCACTTGCCCCACCTGCCGGGTGTGTTGAAACCAGAAAAGAAGGGTCACAAGTGGACAGGTGCACTGTGTAACCGAGAAGCGGTACACCAATCCAACCAATCCCTGGAATATCCTGGAATGGTTTTTCGTCAGGCTCACTTTGCTGGATTTTGCGGTACTAAACTACTGAAGCTTCTTTGGACCAGACTGGACCTGTGTGGCTTGTGCTTTTGGATGTTTCTTTGCAGCGCCCAGGAAACCAAGGCGCGCGCTACGACCTTGACTGCTCAGAACAACGTGCGGGCCGTGCCGGTCACGTTGAACGGCAGGACAAAGGCCCAAAGAGAAGGCCTGGACGTGCAAAGGACTGCTTTAAAGAAGCAACTTCTTTGCACACAGTCTTTTAGTGTTAGTCAGACCCAACACCAGACCTTGTGGCTCGAGAAAAGTCCTGTTCTTCTTCTCGTTGGAGGAGAAGTTGCGTGTGGAGTTTTCGTCCTTCCAAGTAGGTAGTTTCCAAAAAAGAAGGCAGTGGTGTTCAGTAACAGGTCGGCCTGCTCCGGCGCTGAAGTTGGGGGCTTTGGGCAGGATTCACCCGACCGGATCACCTGAGCAAGCTTAGCTTGAGGCAGGTTGGGGAGGGTGTCCCACTCCAATCCAACAGGTGGACACTTCAGCTGACCTTGTTTTTTTTCCAGGAAAACTAAGGTAGTGAGAAAACAGGCAAGAGATGAGTTTGGTCATAGCGCTCATACCACCCCCTGTTTGAGTCACTGTCAACTCGCCGACAGATCTCTGGACTCCAGACTTCTACACGAGGTATTCATGGATACTCGTGGGGACTTTGTTTCGACACCTCCTTGGACAGCCAGGATGTGTATAATCTATTTGTCCAAGCACCAGTTCAGCTCCAAGATGTACCAAATATGTGTTTTACTGCGGGAAGACACTCACTCCCAAAGGCACCGGTTTGGGAATGTGTGAAAGGGAATGGTCCAAGGATCGTGCGAGTTCCGATTTCCTGCCTGTGGGATCGAACCCATGTCCAATTGCTCACATGGAACCCTTCTCCACTTCAGTCTTCAAAGTTCTCATTTGAATATTTGCTACTACCACCAAGATCTGCACCAGAGGCTGATTCGCTCAGGTCATGGCCCACAAATACCCGCGGGCACCGAAATGGTTCAACAGATTCCTCAACGTTCGGAACGTCAACCTTACATGGTTTGGAAGAGGTGGCTGAAGTCACAGCCATTTGATTTGCGGATGAGCAGTCCTTTGGACCTGAGCTACACCCCCTGTTTGTGAAGTGAAGGTGCTTTGTGCATGGAGAGGGGGCCCAAACTGCCTTTTCATTCGAATTTAGGTCCAGAAAGCTCCCTGGATGTGCAGTGGCACCTTGGATGTTTGACATCGCCATGGAACGACTGAACTCTTACTGTATACTACGCCGATCCAATGTGTTGAGCCCGAATATCGCTAAACACTCTCCGATGCACACGACCTCGTGCCACCCCCAGGGGGGGGGGGCGTGGACCACCCCTGTGTACTGTGTGCAGGACAGTCGTCTTCCTGTGTCTTCACCGTGCCACCCGAGTCTTTTCGTCACGAACAACTGAACCGAACCGACAGGGGCCACGTGGCGGGCCATTCAACTGCCTTTGGTTTGACCGCTAGGAAAGCTGGCATGGAAGGTCAGGTGCTTGAGGTGCCAGTCCCGCATGCGGATGTATGCGGATTCGGCAGTGATCTTTGATCATCTGTGCACGGTGAACTAAGTATGATCCTTCAAATGGTGCCAGGATCTTCTTCAAGATCTGGTCCGAGAGCAACCAGGCCGAGCTCTGGCTGAACGGGGTATGGCATTTCACCGCAGCAGTATAGCAGGGTACATCTGGTTTCACGGCTCTTTGGATGGACCTTCCGAGTGGCACATGCCGAACCAGGGGACTTGCATGGACTTAATATAGGTGTGCAGAGAAACTGGTCTCCCAGAAGTCACATGATCGGGGTGGTTTCTATAGTCCCAGAACCTAGTACTATGTGATGTGACACCCCGCCGTCGACATGCTCCTCCGAACGACTGGTCACTGCCTTTCTTTCGTCCGAACGACTGGTCACTGCCGGTCCCCTTTTTTTTTTCGGATCCTGCTTCTCACATCGATTTGAAGGTGTCATGGCGAGTCAAATCGACTGGGCGAGCAGGTGGGTCAAATGGATAGAACGACTACACTAGTGGCCGGGATCAAACACCCGGCGAACGTAGACGAGGAACAGCGAACAGCGTCTTCTGTCTTCTGCCGTGCCATCCACTTCCATGGGATGATATGTGATGTGTTGGTCGTGGGTACCACACCTTTTGGGGCGAAGCTTTTGAAGGGAGTCGCCCGTGTGCTTCATTGTCGCGTGTGGCGACCATGCGATTCTGCATGCGTTGGACCTTGGCACCGTCGAACATTCGCATGCGTGGGTTTTTTTCACCACTTGGACTGGATTGCGCGAGGGATTCGTATATTGGCAATTGAGCATGGCAAGCGAAACCATAAGATATCATAACTGGATGAATCCATGAATCGACGCCACTGAAGCCAGCGGAAGTTCGCGATGTGTGTACTTCAAACCGCCTGCGATTGGTGGATTGGCCAGACTCTCCTTGGAGTTTCATTGCAAAGAGAGCAGAGTCGGGGTGCCCCAGAGGGTTTTTGGATGGCACTGGGTGGCTGGGCCTGGAAGGGCCGTGGCTCCAAAACCAGTACAAGTAGTAGGACAAGTATATATTGTATTGGCTGTATTGGTGAATGTTTGAGGTCTGACCCGCTCGCTGGGGCTTGAAGAGGTTTTGCAATCCATGTTTTGGGGGGGTTAATAATCAAGAGTCTACATGGCCCAAAAATACATAGTTGTAAAGCCTTTTTTTGGGGCTCATTTTGAGTGGTCAACCTAGGGGGGGCTAGGGCCAGGGCTTCAACATAGGCCCTCCCAATAAACCCATGTGCTGGTAAAGAATTCAGAAGCCCCAAGGAGATGGAAGCCCCACGCCCTGGAATCCTCATGGGCCAACGTGGATGGCAAGGGTTCCGAAAGGACCATTAAATCCGAACACCAAACCGGTGGTTTTCACTCCACGTTGGCCCATGGAACATCCCACGGAACTCCGCCCGCGTACCGGGCGGAACCGGAAGTCCACCCGAACTCCGAATCCATATAATGGTTTTGGTGTTTTGGGGTGTTCGGAAGACTCGTGTTCATCCGAACTCGGGGGGCCCATTCACTTCCGTGAGACATCCTGGAAGAGACATAGAAGCTGAAAACAACAGTTGTAGAAGAACATAGTCTTCCAAAGGTCCATGCCATCAGGTTCCATGTTAATCTTCCCGGTGTAAGTCCAGTCCAGGGAGTCAGTTCGAAGCCGGGGAGATGCTTCGAACGGTCGCGGGTGGTGGTGGGGTCTATTCCTGGAGCGCCTGGTGGGGTGGGGTGCTTACAAAAAAAAGGTCTCCCTACGAAAGGATGATCACCTGCCCAACCTTGCCCTGGGGAAGCCCTTGGTTTCCCCACTCAACCAGTTTTTGTTGGGTTTCATGTCTTTTTTCACAGGGACCCTAGGCCTCCAGTCGTACCTTCTGACAAGGTGGGACATACCCGGGGTGGGTGCCATGTCCGGGTCCAGTCATACCGAACCTGAGGAGCTACTGGAGGTGTAGGGGGAATGCCCGGCTCGCAGAGGGTTCTTTTTCCAGCTGGTTGGGGTGAGGGGAGTGGGCAGGAGTTCAAGCACCCACCATGGGAGTTTGAGTAGAGACGCTGTGGGTTCAGAGTTTGTTTGATCACCGGGTGAGGGGCTTCTTTGATATCATCCGTCACAGGGGCTAATGGGGCAACCGGTCAAAGGAAAGCCCTGTTGCCACGGTGGATTTCATGTTGGCTTTTTGTGCAGAAGAACTTCTCCAATTTTTTACGTACACGACGACCACGTGTAGAGCATTAGCTTGAGTGCACATGGCACATCATAGCATGTTTGCTAAGTTCAGGTGAGTCATACACTTCCACATCTTGAACGGCGTGTACCATGCCGTTCTTTTCAGGTGTGACTAAGTCACCAGTACTGAGGAACCGTTTTGGGACCAATCGACGAGGATTGTGGGGCTCCCGAGGTTCGGGGGCAATGGCGCCTGTACCATGTAGGGTTCTCTAATAACCTCCAGTCGTACCTCCTCAGGTATGACTGGACCCTCCTGGCACCCACCCCAGTGTCACCTTCTCCGAAGGTACGACTGGAGGCCTAGGGTACTAGCTCCTTGGAGGTTAAGGGGTCTCCATTCACCCCCCCCGGCCCTAGTAGGCCCTAGTGCTTTACAATTTTTGCGTGTTTCTTCCTCCATGTGTTTTCCACTCATATCCACTCTCCCTGTTCAGGAAGCGGTCGGAGGTGCAGCGAACGCACGTTTGGCGGGGTCCGGGGGGGAAGGACCTTCGAAGATCGATCGAACGCGGGCATCCGGGAGTCGAAAGCTTTATGCCGACATCGTCCCAAGCACCCAGGCCGTCATAACGGCCGTTCCTTTCGATGGAAAAAACCACGGCAACCATCACTGACCCGGGTTTTGGTTGCCAGAGGCTCGTAGACCCTCATGTGGAGGACCCCCATGAGGTCTTGAGTCTTGGATCTTGAGGGGCCACTCTAGGGACTGTGAATCGACCGCCCAACATTCCCAAGACCCCCAGACATCTCCAGACATATGATTTCTTCCTCCTAAGAGTCTTCCGCACCGTGCATCCGGAAGCCTCTGAACCGGCGAATTCCCTTCAGCACAGCTACATCCAACCTGATTGAGCAATTTCTCAGCAGGGGTCCAAGAGGAATTCCCAGTTGAACTCTGTGG